TTTTTTATTGTTGATCAATGTAAATCGATGTAAACAAGAAAAGGTTAAAGTAAAGTTTAAGATTGTTGATCAGAAAGGTGTTATTCGTCGATCAAACCGCTCGCCGAACGCAAACAACGTCACAAGGGTTCAATCTGTGAGTTAGCCATGCTCTGACTTATATCAGCCCAGAGGTTGTTTCAGGGTTCAGTCTGTGAGTTAGCCATGCTTTGTCTTAGATCAGCCCAGAAGTTAAAAGCTAGCTGTTAGCGGGTTTTTTTTTTTTTTGTTTTTGTTTTTTGTTTTTTTGTTGTTGTTGTATATAGTTGTAATTCATTATTCATTTATCACATGATAAACTTACCTTTACATGTCCGGGTGAGCAGAGATTTGACAAGCGTCAACAGTTTACTGAAATCAGTCACAGTAAGCACGTGATTTGGGCTTGTGGCGATCATGTCGAGTTCTGATTTGTCGTAATTACCAATTCCTACGGATATTATCGTAAGATCTARAGAAAGTAAAAACGATTCAGTAACTGAAAATAATTGCGACTTTTTGAGCCTTGAGTATTTTGAGTATATTAAGCGTCTCTGCTAGTTCAGCTGTTTTCACTTATAAATCATGTATTCGGAATTCAAAATTGTGAGAACTCTCGTAGTGCTTTTCCTAATCTTCTTGAGTGTTCTATACCTTTCCCTCGTGTTTTATAACTGTACACAATACGCGCGCGTGTTATGATATAGCCTTGACCGTGTCAGCGCGTACAATCTCATTATAACGAGATAATTATATAAAGATTACCTGTTATGTTTTCCTTGACACTTTTCACCACAGGTTGTAATACCGGGCCATTGGATTTGCCATCCGTCAAAAGTACGATAATTTGTGGTTCATTTATGTGCCTTGGATCATTCTGAGCCTTTTGTAGGATATCGTGGGCGGCTTGTATGGCTGTGGATGTGTAGGTCCAGCCTCCTTTTGTAATAAGAGAATAGATATAATCTTTTATGAGTATTCATAGATGGATGGACGGACGGACGGACGGACAGACGGACAGACGGACGGACGGGCGGGGCGTTGCGGGGCGTTGCGGGGCGTTGCGGGGCGTTGCGGGGCGGTGTGGATCGGGACGGGATGAATGAATGAATGCATGGATGCATGAGACTAATAGACATTTACCAGAATAAGCAAGTCCATCCACAGCACACTTGAGTCTTGACTTCGATGCACATTCATTCAGTTTAATAGAATATTGAACATATGAAGCAAATTCGATAACAGCCACTCGCGTTTGATACGGTGAAATATCGAACACATCAATGATATTCCTGGGTAAATATACACCAAACATCATCATCATCATCATTATAATTATCATCATTATTAATTGTTAATTACTATTATTATTATCATCATCATTATCATTATCATCATCATTATCATTATCATCATCATTATCATTATTATAATCATCATCATTATCATTATCATTATCATTATTATCATCATCATCATCATCATCATCATTCATTCATTGTCGTTATCGTCATCGTCATCGTCATCGTCATCGTCATCGTCATCGTTATCTTTATCATTATCATCATCATCATTATTATAGAATATATGTTATTAGGATTAGTTTTTGCCAAATAGATTGTATTGTTATACATTAAGAGAGAATTCTTTTCCTATTTAAGCAGTGAGCGCCAAAAACTATTTTCTTGAAGAAAGCCTAGAAAGGCTGTTGTACAAGGCTAAAATCTTGTTATTCACAAAGTTTAACTTGTTTGGAAGTGGAGATGACBGATGAAAGTGGAATCAAAGTGTTGACCCAAAGCAAAAATTTTATTCGAAAATGAGGTTTAGGCCTTCATTTGCTTATTTCCCATATAATATTTTCTATTAAAAAAAACCTTACAAAGCAACATCCTAACACAAATGTAACAATCTATCATAGTGCATCAGTTTCTAACTGTTTAAAAAAGTTTTTGAGTGTTAACCCAAAACAAAAATTGGGATAAAAACTCACACGAAAGTCTAGTTTTTGGCGCTTTTTGCCTTCATTGCTCATTATTGAAACAAATTTCTTCTTAATRGATATATTTTTATTGTAGTATATTATTATATTTTTTATTAAAGGATATTATTACTTAATAAGTCATATGGAACTTTCAGGACTCAGTAAAAAATCTGATCATGAGCACGAGATATAACTAAACATTTGATGCATATATATATCACAGGGAGCCCAATTTAGATTAAAGTGAATATAGAAAACAAAATCGGGAAGATTAGATAATTAATTATTTTTTAAATTCAAGATCAAGATAATGTCCTCCTAATACGAAAGAGTAAAAAAATCAATAAAAAATGCACTAGAACATTTTTTTTTTCGCGCGCCTTTGTTTTCCTATATAATTCCCCTATGGTATCTGATGTCGATATATATTCTACATAACAAATTTTTCCGATTTTATTTTCATCATTCACTTTACATTTACATTTACCAGTTAAGTCATTCGCTCAATACTGAGCATTTTAGACCATGCTAAATAATTATTAAAATAATCAAATAATAAACATATTGATAATAGAATAGATAATAATAAATAGTGAATAATAATTGTCCAACAAGTTAATAAATGTCTGCAACTGCATTCTTAAATGCTGATTTAATCTAAATTGGGCTCCCTGTGATATATATAAAGTTACACTTACTTGACAAAATCCTTTTCGACCTCATAGTTAATTGACTCAATACTTCCAGATTCGTCCATCACAAAAACCAGATTTGCCGGTAATTCACATTCTAAATATAAGTGGCATGAATATGTTAATTATTGAGCTTTTAAGTTGTGACGTATTTCCGGGTCCAGTCACATAAAAGATCGCTAAAATCTTGCCACAACTGTATGTACTTTATTGTTCCCACTCATACGATAACCATTCTTATGGGAAGCCATTTCAATGTTACGGCATGTCGTACCGTGTACGTGCTGTAAGTCAGTACCGTACGTTTCCCACTCATACGATAACCATTCTTATGGGAAGCCATTTCAATGTTACGGCATGTCGTACCGTGTACGTGCTTGCCGTCTGTACCGTATGCTCCCCATTCATACGATAACTGTTCTTATGGGAAGGAATTTCGATGTTACGGCATGTCGTACCGTGTACTGCGTGCTGAAAGTCGGTACTATTCGTTAATAATATCCCATTAATAATACGATAAGCATTCTTATGGCAAGCAATTTAAATGGCAAGGCATATGACAAGCACCATATTCATAACTTTACCTTCGTCTTTATCAATCTTGGGACAAGCTGCTCTGCCACTCTTCAGATTTTCTATTAAAAAAAAAAACAGCACAAAATTAAAAGGAAAACAAGATACGATACTAAATCATACACAACTTTTCTACCGACCAAATACGGACGTACCGACCGACCGATCGACCGACCAAATACGGACGTACCGACAGACAAGGAAATCGATAAACAAACAACAACAAAAACTCCATCATCCCATGCATGAAGGGATGTGCAAACACGTTCATAATAAAAAAGACCTAAGGAAAGGGAAAAA